CGGCGGCGGTAGTAGGAGTAGCAGTAGTAGGAGGAAAAGAGAAAGGAGGTAAAAGCCCGTGTCTAGCGATCCTCGCGAGCCTCCACCACGCGTACGCGCCGCTTATCATCGTGACCGCGGTCGACTCGTTGACGTCGTCGTCGGCGACGAACACCGCGGAACGGGTGTCGCGGATGACAGCCCGTCGCCGTCGTCGTGAACGTGAAACGATTACGTCGCTCGCGATCGGTCATCGCGTATTGCGTAAAACTAATCCGATTTAGGCGGCGACCTCGCGCTGCACTCTCTCCGTGCAGCCCTCCTCCTCTCCTCCTTCGACGACTTCCGTCATCGTCACGGTTACGTTACGTCCGTCGCGTCTCCGCGGCGCATCTCCGACCTCCGTCAATCCCCCGTCTTGACGTCTTCGCGGGTCTCTTTAGTCTCTTACGGGTCTTACGGGTCTTACCGGAGGGGATGAGATGGGGATCCACCGTCATCGCGTCTGATCGCTTCTGACGAGGCGAAAGGGGGTTGAGGGAGGTGGAGAAGGGGAGAAGGAATCAGCTCGACGCGATAGGGATATAGGGAGTATAGGGAGTATAGGGACGGGAGTGACGGGACAGAGGGACAGTAGGGACACGCTGACACGCAGTCTCCTCTCGCTCTGCGTTCCCGCTCTCACCTCTCACCTTGACGGTACGCAGCGACCAGAGCGTACCGCTCCTCTCTCGTTGCCTCGTCGCGAGAGAGCGATGCGTCGTCGCGCGGCGGTGCGCGGATCGCGCTGGTGAGGAAGTTTAACGCGACGCCTCGCCCAACCCACTTTCGACTTTAGTGGTGGCCGCTCCGGGTTGTGCGCGTCCCCGAGCCATGTACCCGCGGTGATACTCGCGCGGCTTCCTCGGGCAGCGTTTTTCCCTCTCCCAGCTCAACGAGTGGAGTTCCTGGGTATCGCGTCGCGTTGCGTCGTCCCGCTTCGCCTCGCCCACTGAACGCCTTGAACGGGTATGAAATTTTGCGGGACGACGGTGGACTCCGACGGAGCTCTCGGACTGTCTCGGAGTAGCGCGTCCACATAACCTTTATGCCACCAGAAGCGCAACGTTCGTTTTCTCTATTTTCCCTGTCGAGTGATGTATCGACCATCGACCGCGACGATTCGGTTCCGTCATCGTTGTCGTCGTCCCGTCGGATTTCGCCTCACGGAATCGACACCGCGGCCGCGGCCGCGACGTTGAACCGTCCCGTCGAGGACGGTGCCACCCCCGTCGTTGCGAATCCATTTCTCTCATTTGTTGCGCCGCGCCTCCCACATCACATGCGAACATACGTGTTCATCTTGCTCTACCTGACGATGTTTAGTTTCATTCTGTTCTGTATACTTCTGTTCTCACGCATTGTTATCTCGCGGATACAATCTGTACCTTTGAGTTTTTATAGTTAATAAATTTGGTTCTCACCCACGCAAGCAATTTTGTGTTTTCATTTCGTACACACACACACATATTCGCACGTACCATCCCATTTTTCCTCACACACCAAATTCTGCACAGATTCTCGAGTTCCGTAAGTATACAATTGAGAGAAGGAGAATCTTGCGTTTCGATCACACACACATTTTTCCGTCGAGGGTTTTTTCTTTTAGCTGTATGTTATGATTTTGTAATTCTTGCTGGACCAATCGAAAGTGCAATTTACTTTGTCTAAGATTGTTAGAAAATATCTGAAGATTCAATTACTGAAAATAAAGTCGATCATATCAGTGTGAGAGCTTATAAGATCGATTTTTTTTTAATTATTTACACATTCTGTAGCTGAATGAGAAGAGCGACATGATACCCATGGTAATCATCTTCTGCTGATTATTAAAACGATGGTGCATTAAAAAGATTGACCTACGTGGACTAAGTAATCAAGGGAACTCACCACACAAGTTGAGAAAATGAATAATCAAGCGTTCAGTTTGGCGGAGAGGCTCATACCTTCGACCTACGTGCAGCAGGGCCTGAACGCCAAGAAGTCTCGTGAAAACCTTATACGGCATTTTATCGAACATGTAAGTTGTGAGAAAGCGAGCTTTTCAGTAAACGTCAATTAGCAATAGCATTATATAATTATTTAATATAATTTTCTACTCAACAATACAAAGGTAACATAACACATGTTGTACATAACGGTTACATTCCCAGATAGCCAAACCACTCAAGGATCAGTATTGCAGACTGTAGATGCTTTTCAGCAAAAGATACAGATGACCTAGGCTGCGTTCATCAGAGAAAACCAATCAGTTAGCGTTTAGTAATTCTTTAATATGATTGAGTCCTACGGTTAGATCCAGCAAAGAACTAAAGGCAAGAAACAATTATTAAAGAATCACTAAGCTAATTGATTAGTTTTCTCTGCTGAATGCAGCTATAGCAGTGAATGATTACATCCTCATTGTTCTCCAATGTTAAATTAAGATGAAATCACTGCGTTGCATTGTAGGTGCTTTCCAACAAGGCAAATGATACAGTATAACACAGTGAATCATTACATTCTTGTTGTTTTCCAATGTTAAACAAAGATGTCCAATGTTAAACAAAAATTAAATAATCACTGCGCTATACTGTGGGTGTTTTCCAGCAAGGCACAGATAATACAGTGTAACACAGTGAATCATTATCTTTCTTTAAACAAAGATGAAATATCCAATTACTGTGCCACACTGTGTCTCTTACTGTAAAGCACCGTGTGTTTTGCATATTGTAAGAGCTTTCTGGCAGGAAACATAGATGACACAATATAACACGTACAATGAAACATTTTGTCTGTTTAACATTGACAAACAATAAAGATATAATAATTTATTATGTTACACTGTATCTCTCGCTGGAAAGTATCCTATGAATATCTTATGAATAGAATTCCAGCAATAGCCAAGTACAGTCTGCTATTTTTCTAAGATAGAAATGTATCAGAAAACCCTGCATAAAACATGATGGCAAGTTATGCTGTTTTCCCGCTGCATTTCTGTTATTGTACTATATAGTATAAATTGTAAGTAATAATAGAACCCAAGTTTAAAGAGCACAGAGTGGATAAGAATCTTCTCTAATCATAATCAAATTGGCTAGCGATTATTGACATACTGCTGGCATCTTGCTATCTGGATTTCTCGAGTAGGAAATTATAATATTTATATTACTGTTAATTAGTGTTTGCTGGGCTTGCATAAAATAAATTCTATGTGATATGTATCTTCTTGTAATGTTATGTGAAAAACAGCGAAAATGGCCAGAAGAGGGTTGGGACGACGCAACGATAGAAGCATTCCTGTCGGATCTATCGCAAATGGACAGCAATAATTTTCCCTCGAATTGTAGCGTCGGCGAACGCGAGGCGAGGATCGTGTCGAATATCGTCGCGAGACGACACTTTCGTATGGGACATGGTATAGGAAGATCTGGCGATTTAGAAGAAGTACAACCGAAGGCTGCTGGTAGCAGTTTAATGTATAAATTAACTAACTCTTTAGTGCTTGAAGTTATACGATATATGGGTAAGGAGTTACGCAGGCATATATATTTAGCATAGAAAATATGAGGCATATGTATTTAACTCTCCGAAGTCAAAATCTGTAATACAGTTATTGATAAAAAAACATAGTTATTGACGCTGGGTCTGTGAAATCCGTTTAATTTAGTTGACTAAAAGGCTTTAATTCCAAAGAATTAAAGTGACATAATTTGTATAAAAAAGAATGAATACTAAGTTTATTTCAATTATAATAATTCAAATTTACAGATGTAACATAAATAATGTAGGCTTGCTTCTCTCTCTCTTTCAGCCGAACTTCTTGCACGGTCCAACGTGGAGAGAAAAGAAAGAAAGATGAACCGTGCAAGAACTTTAGCTAAAAAAACAGACCGTATAATTGAGTGGGTCCAATACACCTACCATCGACTCCGGAGGGTTATATATAATAATTGTAAAAGAAATTATTATTCGTTTAAAATGGCAGAAAAAAGAGATTATGAATTTTGATATTAGACTGATCACAAAAAAGTTCATCAGTATCCTGTAATTTATTTCTTTATTTTTTGTCTGATTCTTTTTGTTTTATTACTATAAAAAGGGATCTAATAAGGATATTTTCGCTCACAGGGGTGAAGAGCATAGCAGGCTGCTTTCTATCACCAATGGCCACGGGAATGAGCCTAGTTCTATGTATGTTAACGCTTAAGCAAGACAGACCACGCGCGAAATACGTTTTATGGCCTAGAATTGACCAAAAGTCTAGCTTCAAGTCTATAATTACGGCCGGATTAGAACCTATTGTTATCGAGATGCAAATAATAGGGGACGAATTAAAAACCGATATGCAGAGACTGGAGGCTCAAATGGCAGCCTTAGGCGAGAGTGTTGCCTGTGTACTTACGACAACCAGCTGCTTCGCGCCCAGAGCGTGTGATTCCGTGGACACAATCGCGGCCCTCTGCAGCCAATATAACATACCACATCTGGTGAATAATGCATACGGGTAAGCGAAGGATGCACTATTTTTTTTATGTATATCTTTAGATCGATACCTTGGCGCTAGAACAATCAACATCCTCTCTCGGCTCTGCAAACGTAGAATTTTTATTCGAAAATCACAAAAGAACGTTGTTGGTTTTAGTCCCAGGATATCGAGGTACATTCCAATTGAAAACGATTTTACTAAATGTATTGCACTATATTGCTAAAAGCTTGCAGAGTACAAGGTGTATGCATCTCATACAAGAAGCGTCGAGAAAGGGTCGAGTAGACGCTTTCGTTCAGAGTACGGACAAGAACTTTCTGGTTCCGGTGGGTGGTGCTATTATAGGCTCCTTCGACAAGAATCTCTTAGATCGCATATCGAAAATGTATCCAGGACGTGCAAGCGCGAGCTCCGTTATGGATGTGATGATAACGCTGTTGAGTCTTGGAATGGCAGGGTACAAACAATTGATTGCTCAACGTAAAGAAATGTATTCTTACCTGAAAGAAGAATTGGGAAAATTAGCAACAAGGCATGGGGAGAGACTGTTAGACACTAAGGGCAATCCAATATCTATGGCTATGACCCTTCAGTGTCTAAGCCATCAGCATGACAACAAGCAAGTTACTATGCTAGGGTCAATGCTATTTCTGCGTAACGTTAGTGGTACTAGAGTTATAACGACCACGGATTCTAAGCACATTGTTTCACATAAATTTGAAGGTATATATTTTTAAATATGATTTAATAATGTTCTGAGAACATATTTATTGAGATACACACACATAATATCTTCATATAATTATGTTTAACCCGAGAATAGTCACCTGATTTTTGACGTACAAGGTTACTTGAGGTGTTTTTATACCTCATTATTAAAACTAAAATCATTATTATTAACAACATATTGTATATTATCGTTTTCCAATCTATTAATATTTGACAATTATATGGATATGGATATAATCATAATTTTCTGAAAAAAGTAAGTGGAGACTAAACAAATATTAAATGAAATAGCATGTTGAGTACCTTATAACGGTATTTTTTAAATAAAGATTTTAATTAATAATTTTTTTTATTGCGGTTGGAATATTGTCGATGGAATTGCATATTTAAAGGTTTTTAAAGAATAGTTATTAAAAGAGAAAAAAATATATATTAAACAATATCCCCATGCAAAATAATATTTTACAATTTATATTTTTTCACCGCTCGGTTGTAAAAATACCCAAGATGACTGTTTCTGGGTTAAAAATATCGTATCTATATTTTAAGTATATATTTTTAATTTATGGTAATTTTTATTTTTTTATCGAAGATATTTCCGTTTCATAATATTTACTTCAATTATTACCACAGGCTGGGGTGCACATAACAGCAATTACAGAGTCCCATATCTGACTGCTGCGGCAGCATTAGGCATGAAGAGATCTGATGTGGATGCGTTCATACAAAGATTGGACAAAGCTTTAACGAAAGTAAGGAGACGTTCAGCGCCAGTAACGCCCACTGCTTCACTCGCCGGTTCCAGCATCAATGGGGATGCAGGTGGTACTGGTGGACCAGGGGAATCTAGCACAGCCTCAACCAGCCGTGCAAGTAGCAAAGACAGTCTAAGAAAATGAACCGTAATCAACGCAACTGGCCAGTCCAATCAGCACATTAATATCAATTTGTAAGTAGCTTATCGCTTACAAATTGACATCCATAGCATGTTTCTGAGAAATGTAAATTCGGTACAATCGTTCCTTTATACGTATGTCAATCACGTTTGTGTTGACAGAAGTTTTACAATATCTGAAGAAATTTAATACAAAAAACAAACCTGAACTTTTTAGATTAAAAATTATATAATACATTTTTTATAGAAAAAAAAGACAGGAAAGAAGACGTACACATATATGGAAACATTTATTTTTTAAACAAGATGTAAGAAAATCTTACTATATCAATATTGAAAGAAACAATGATTTACATATATTTTCACAGACACATGCTAGATACAAATGTACTGATTCGTCTGCTCATTTGCGTTGAGATATTGTCAATTCAAACTATATACCAAAAGAAGATGAGAATCTTCAGACATTAAAGAGTGATCAAAATTAATATTTGAAAAGAAAAGAAAAGAAAATGACAGGAAAACGCGAGGCATTCGGATTCCTATGGCTCTATTTCAGAAACAGATCTCAGAGAGAGATTCAAGTGATAAGCGCTGGCCGCCGATATAATTGTTGAGTATGTTCTTTGTTGAAATGTATATGCTATTATTTATAAAGACACAGGCAACATTGAATTCTTACAATTAACTCTCTTTTCACCTTCTTATTTTCTAATACAGTTTGATATAAATACTTAAGAGGCATGTATCAATCAAAACAAATTGTATGTTTGTTTTGTATAATATAAATTCCTTTTCTAAAGGATCGAATACTATAAAACTTGCAATTCTGTCGATACATGTAGCAATATTCACTATTTCAATTGTTTATAATACTTAACATGTTATTCTTTTGAAAGCTGTCACATTTCTGATAATTTATTTACTTATACACATTGCACTTTATAGGATTAATTGTTATTAATTGTGTAGTGTTTTTGTTATCTTTAACTATGTATAGAGAATGAGAATCCTTCTCTTTTATTTAAGCAGAGTATATTCGTATTTACGGCACTAGTAAAATGATATATTATCTGTAAAAAAAAGGAAGCAGTATAGTAAAATATTTATGGAAACACACTATTAGGAAAATATGTCAAAATTTAGGTACATAGTACACATAATGACACAACGTGGTATACGAATATGTTTTACCATTGGATTTATAGAAAATTTATAATACCTTCGCGTACGTAGGTATTATATGATTGGTTTGTTTCCAAAAATGACAAAAACTAGAACACAATATTGTGTTATTAATTTGTTTTTAACGATACAGATAATATTATATTTAATTGTACTGTTGTGTAATAAATAGAGTATCATGCATCTAGAAGGAGTATGTTATGTGAATATTGATATCGTTTGGCATATTTAGTATTGTTCGCAAGCAACATCAACACAATTACTAACTACTAACACACATACATACATATATTTATACATATGAAGAAAGTATGTTTATATGTATATAGATGCCTGCGTGCATAGGTATATATACAGATATATTCATACTTGCGCAACTCGTTGCGTATAAAGAATAGTTTATTTAAAGTTTCATGAATTTAGAAAATGGTATATCAAAGTTGTATTTATAAATATTTAATAGAGATAAAGGAGAGAAGTAAACCGATAGGGAGAGATTATTAGTGCTGTTAAAGTTTTATCAAGCATGTATAATTTATGATGCCTGTTGCACTTTCTTTAAATAGGAACGTTAATTATATTTATATTGTATTGTTGACGTTTGGATTTTGTAGTATATGTACATTTTACGTCGAAATGTTTAAGGCGAAAAATTATTAGTCGGTAAATCCATCTGGTAAACTGACAACAGCGCAAAATGACTGTAAATCACCGAGGTTTTCAAAGTTATGAGCAAAAGAGACAGCGATATACGCAGATTAGCATTTAATTATACGCTTAGTTGATGGCTTATTAGGATGGCAGTGCTAATCAAGATTTTGTGAAGCTCCTAGTAAATAATTATCATTATATTCAATACATTATCCTACTAATAATTATAGCTCTATATTTTTCAATTAATTATAGTCACTACGTCCCTTATATAAAGAAGCGTCTTTTAGTACATATGTATAAATATACCTTTCCTTTCCGAAATTATTATTTATGTTATTATAATTTACAGGATGTTTTAGATTCCTACATCTTTTATCCATGAATCATTTTATTTTTTCTAGAGAATCGGCTCTAAAATAATCAAAGAAAAATATAAAACGTAGATCGGTAGGTTTGGTGGAATCTTATAGGTACAGCAATACTCATACTTTTAGACAAGATTACATGTACGTATATATAAGTTATATATCGCTACTGTATTGCGTACTTTTCACAACTATTAGTTACAAATTATATATTTCTTTAATTATTCATTTATCTCGAGGAAGAATATTACATGCAGAAAAAAATCTCTAAGACGTAGTAAAAGAAATTGCAAAATTACTGCTATAAGAGGATTGAATATGATGCTATAATAGGAAATATATTGACGTTATAATATTATTTAATAAAGAGGTGTATATGTTGTGTGTATATGTATATACACATATATACGTGATATACATGTATGAGCGGTCTTTATATCGTGATATCTTGATGTATCCAAGCTATTATCGCGAAAAATCACGCCATCTCAACTATCACTTATATATAATTTACATCTTTATATATTTAAGATTTATCTTTCACTTTTACTTCAGCAAGCAATAATTGTAATATGACGCGTACAATTTTCTGAGGGATTTTCTTTCATTCTATGCTCAAGCAGGGGAGACATTGGAATTTTCTCGAAGAGCAATAGACAAATCAGCCTATATATACGTATTTATATACATGTATATATACATATGCATATATGTGTGTAATAATAGGAAACTTATATTCTAGGACACACCGACGTACGATGGGATCTTATAACTCGTACTCGTGACACATTCCTATGTAAATAAAGAAGTCTCTGTCTTTTATTTGATTCACCACCATTTCCAGCTGGATTCCGTGCAATAAAGGGCCAGCTTAACTTACAACATTATTATACGCCTTTCACGCAACAACGACGATCTCGCGGACCTAATTTTTTCCATTCTCTCTCTCTCTCTCTCTCTCTCTCTCTCTCTTTTCCTTGAGTTCCGCGTCCGACATCAGAATCAGTCTGACTCCGACTGCAATTTCATTGTCTTTTTATATACGAAAATATAAAATGATATTCTAACACAAACAGCGAATGCGTCGATTTGAGGAAGCATCTACGGTCGCATGAAAACAAAAATGTGTATTTATATAATGGGTAAAATAAAAAAAGAATATATATATATATAAATATATGCAACCGACTCACTGTATTAAAGTTTTAGGGCGTCGGTAATTGTGAGCGAGCAATTAAGGCTTATATCGAATATACACATATGACATGTAAGAGCGTAAAAGCGAAACGCGAGATAACTCGCAAACGTGTTCTCTGAGTAGCATTTGATTTTTTTAACGATGTGACATCGCGAGACACGTTCGGATAAGTTCGCGATTCTACTGACATTGTACATAACGCGGCTTTGACGGCTCATCCAGGCTCATCTTCGAGCATGTGAGAAGGAGAAAAGCTCATGAGCACCACGAAGGCGTTGATTCCCTCATGGGACATTTATTGTTGATCCACAAAAGCCAGCATTCCAAGCACCTAGGTGGAAGCTAACAGGCAAAAACGATCGAGAGGAAGAGGATTGCATAGGATCAACTTGAAAACGAAATGGAGATGACAGGGATCTCCAATCTCTTCAATACGTGTTTCCCCTCTCCGGAAATATCCGTTTCCGCCTGACTTCCCTCTGGCGATTGGAAGAAAGACACGCTGAAATTAATCAAACGATAGCGAACAATTGTAAACGGCATAATGTACGTGCTCTTCCCTAAATATGTGATTACCGTGTAATAGTCTGTGTTTTATTTGTAATATACGCAAACTATTGGATATATAAATAAATTAAAAACTGTTAAGCGACGCACTTTGTTGACTTAAAGGGCGAGAGTGCATTTGAAAATAATTATGATCGTATTCCGATATAGTATTGAAAATCTATAGTATACATAATGTGACCTATTATGTATAAGTTTTCAGTACTGATAGTGTATATCGGAACAGAATCTAAGATATATCGGCATAAAGAATTTTTTTTTAAGTAGTCTCAATAAATACAAATTTTTTTAAGTAGTCTCATTAGCATGACATCAATTTTATAATTTTACACTCAAGTAACTTAAAAAATAACTGTTACATAAAATTGTTACATTTATTGTTGAGTGCGAAATTATAATTAATATCCAGCGACCGAGCTGATATTATTTATCATCTTGATATCAAAACGATGTTAAAGACAATTAATAATATTAACCTGTTTGCTGAGCGTTGATGTTATGTTACTGTAGATTTATTGCTGGGCTGATGATAAATTGATGTTATTCCATATAGCACAGATGTTCAAGGGATGTTCTGAAGGACGTCCTGAGAATGTCCCAATGTCTTGAGGTTCTAGGAAGCTCTTTGGAATAAAGTATGCTGTATAGGATGTTACTGTTAGTTAAGGTTTATATGTTGGGATACATTGTTTTCAATCACATTTTGAGTTGTACAAGATTTTATGATACGTATAGAAAATGAGATCGCTTTGAATGATTAGAAGCGAACGCACGGTAATTAAAAAAAATTGTTAAAAATTTTTACTATAGAAATCAAAGCCTTAAACGGTTTAGTTGGATCTTAAATGCTTGTATGATTCTTGTGTGAATTTATATATTACGTATGTAGTTCTTAGAAATGTGTGCCGAAATGATTTTTCGGTCTTGAAACGCTAACTCTACTAAACTATCACAGTAATATCACGAGTTAAATTGACTAACAATTTAACAAATTTTTTATGCTTATTCGCATCTTCGAAACGATTTTAATAATGTTGAATGACATTAAAATCTGTAAATAATTAATTCTTATTGCGAAAAATATT